AAAAAAAAAATGAAATTCGCTTCTTTGTAAAATTTCGAAGGCTTGATTTTGGGATTTTTTTTTTTTGCATAATTTCGCCAATAGCCCGATGATCATGGATAATAATTACAGGCATTCGGTGAATGTTTTCCAGCCACCGGTTGAAAACAATGATCTGAACGGTGACACACTGGAATCTGTTCGTGAAGGACTCCCAGAACTTGTTCCGCCGGATTTTTCATCCAGTTTCAGTAGTAATACGGATGATTCACCGGCAAGTGTTCTTTTTGAACTATTTTCGGAGCTGTTAGGCAAAATTCATTGAGTAAAAATAGGAATCGGCTTCGTCATATGTTTCGAAAAAAGAAATTTGGCCCAAAAACGTGGAACTTAACATGGAACTATAAAAAATTTGCGAGTAAATTTGGACCAAAAACGTGAAATTTGGCATGGAACTACCAAAAAAATTGCGAATAAATTTAAAAAATTATAGGAAATTTGGTTCAAAAATACCATTTTTCGCTGTGTGATATATTTGAGAAGAATATTAGAAAGAGCTCATTTCCTCGATTTCTGATGGATTTCAATGCTCGATGATTGCAGGCAAGCAGTACAGAATTGGTGGCCCCGGTCACAGCGAAAAGACAGATGGTACTCGGTGAGCCACGAAATAGATCACGAACAGAATCCAAGTTATTCATCGTACGCAGACTGCCCCAAGCGGATTCAGCTATCGGCGATACCCTGGTCGACTTGCATAACGACGGTTTGTGTACAGTTTGTTTATTTTTTCGAAGTAAAAGGCAGTACAAGCCTCAAAGGCCCTATGGGGGAAAGGAAGAGAGTAGTAACCAGGCCCGGGAACAACGGCCCATTCAGCGCAAGGTATCGACCGGCAAGGGTCGCACCAACCCTAAATACAATAGGAACAACCAGCGATAGGACGGTGGCCGTGCAGAATGTTTCTTTTTTCGAATTCATTTACTGGCTGTAGCTTCCACTTCTCTGAAATTTTGTCACTTGCGTATAATTTTGTTATTCGTGTCTCATGATGATTTATTGCTTTTTGTTAAGAACTGTGTAAGGAAGAATTGCATCACTGTTACGCAAAATTCCTGGTCTCCTGTTCAATCTTGGACATTCTACCCCCGTCAGAGTTATACAGCCTTTGTAATCTGTGACCACGGGGTATAAAAGCACCCCTCCCTATCTGCAGCATCCAGAGTCGCAGTTGCTTCACACCACCCTGTGCTGGGGAGTTTCGGCTTATTTATTCTCCCCTCACATTTCAAGTCTGTTATGTGTAATTATAAACATATAGCTATCTCTAGGTGTTGGCTAACATACACACTCCACCACACACACATCCACACACCACACAGGCACACACACACACACACACACACACACACACACACACACACACAGGGCATGCACAGCAGTCCAACCCACAAACTTTTAAAGTCTCGATACTCCGTAATTTTGGAAATTGCGATCTGTTAAGTGTGACTACTGATTGATTGTAATATTAATAATACATTAGAAGGAATTAATAGAACGAATAATGGTTGTTTT